GCGCTTCTGCCCCGAGCTCTGCCCGAAGGAGGACAAGTTCCAGCTCAAGGAGCTCGCGTCGAAGCTCGACGGCCACGGCGACAAGTGGATCAACGTCGCGACGGTCGACTGCGAGATCAACGTCGTCCTCTGCGGCGAGCGCTTCAACATCACGGAGGCGCGGAGCCTCCTCTTCATCCGCGGGCGCATGTACGACTTCACGGAGAACGTCACGGAGACGAACTCCGACTTCCTGCGCAACTTCACGAAGCGGCTCAAGAACGTCACGCTCGAGGACGGCGGCCGCGGCGAGGGCCTGCGCATCCCGCGGGGGCCCATGTGGTTCACGCCGCTCATCAAGCCGATCACGGACAAGCTCGACCTGTTCTTCGAGATGGTGGACTACCGCATGCTGAGCACGGGCATGGGCGCCTTCTCCGTGCTGCTCGTGCTCGTCGGCGCCTTCACGCCCCACGCGGAGGAGGAGAGCGACGAGGACAAGAAGAAGAAGGAGGACGCGAAGGAGAAGAAGGACGACCCGGACGACGCGGAGCCCAAGGGCGAGACGGCGAAGAAGGACGACTAGGACGTGTTAATTTCATTTCGAGAAGCAGGGATTCTCGCGCTGTGAATTTCGCGGGAGGTGTGTTTTCCGGGGCGCGGAAGACACACCCGGGGGATGCGCTGCGGGTCGGAAACCCCGCGCTTTTGTTCGAAGGAAGCGAGCGAAGACGCGCCGCCGCTCTTTGAGGAAGACGCTTTTGTTCAACGGGAAGCGAGCTCGGTGCGACTTCAGACGCGCCGCCGCTCCGAAGCACGGAGACCGCCGGCTGGAAGGGAGGCGCGGCGTCGCCGGGGCGCTAGGTGGCGAAGACGCGCCGGCGCTCGGTGATTGGCGCGCGGCACACGGGGCACTCCGCGACCGTCGCCGCGCACGCGCGCTCGGAGACGGCGACGGCGCGGCGGACGGCGTCGAGCTCGGGGACGAGGAGGGCGCCGCGCTCGGAGACGGCGACGGCGCGGCGGACGGCGTCGAGCTCGGGGACGAGGAAGGCGCCGCGCTCGGAGTCGACGACGGCGCGCCCGTCGGGGCTTCGCTCGGTTCCGAACTGGGAATCGAGGTCGAAGGCGCGGCCGTGGGCGACGCCGTCGTCGGCGCGACCGTCGGCGCGGCGGTCGGCGCGTCGACGCAGCAGCGGCAGATGCGGCGCTTCGTGCCGATGGAGTCCTGCGCGCAGGCCCACTTGCCAAGGGACGCGTCCTTGTAATTGCAGTTGCCGCTCAGGGTCACGTAGGGCGCCGCGAAATTCGAGTTCGAGGCGAAGGAGCTGCACTCGACGTCGCCGTCCGCGTCGAAACCGTCCGGGTAGAGCCGCGCGATCAAGGCCGCGACGTCGCCTTCCGAGTCGGCCTCGTCGTTGTGGAGCGGGAACTCCGCGACGCTGCAGGTGAACCCCAGGTTGGCGCAGACGGTCCCGCAGTGCTCGCCGACGCCGCCGCCGAACCAGGCGCTGCCGTGCTCGCAGGTGTCGGTCGGCGCGAACGTCGCCGTCGGCGCGGCGGAGACCGTCGGCGCGGCGGTCGGCGCCATGCTCGGCGGCATCATCACCGAGGCGCGCGCCGAGCCGACGCACCACAGGGCGACGCGGAACACGCAGCGCGCCATGGCTGCCCGCTAGGGCTGCCCAGGACCCGTAGGCTGCCCCAGCGCGAAATGCGAAGGAGCGACCCGCGAGTCTGTGGGAAAGCCTAGGCTGTCCCAGTGCGAGGGAACGCTGCGCGTCCCGTAAAACACTTGGCCTGACTCCAGCGGGCCATGCCGTGAAAATACGACCTCTGCAACTGATGAGGTTGAATGCGACCTTTTCCGTCAATAACGT